AGTATGCTTCAGACTAATACGTGAGGTTGCAGAAATACACGTACCCACATATAATCGGTGACTGGCTGGGAGAAGGGGGCCTCCATCCCTTTGCGATGCGCCGGCTGCAGCTCCTCTCCACGCCGCCGGAGCAAACTCCAGCACACAGAGACCGCTCAGCCTCCGTCTTCCGCGCGGACGCCGTCTCCCGGCCCGCCGTCACCGTAGCGCGCGCAGCCTGCCATCAATGGCAACGGCCCACGCAGCCCCCACCACCATGGCCAGGACGTCCGCCTTCAAGGACGGCGGCACCACATCCTCAACGAGCACAGCGGGATAGATCGACGCCGGACGCGACATCGCCGTCGAGCATCGCGAATTGCCGGCGCGGTTACGCCGGCAAGGAATTCGGCGCCGACGCAGCCGCTATCTCCTTCCTTTCCGTGAATGACGGCGAAAATTGGAGGATATTTTGGGTAGGGTTTCCACCGGTGCTGATTTTGCGATCGTGTTGTTGATCTGTGCCGTCCAGAGGATCGGACGGTGTGCATAGTGGCACAGCGGTGCTGGCAGGCCCAAGTTGGGCCAATTTAGAATGGATGGATGGTAGCACTTGATGTAATAGGCCGTTGACCAGATTAGTCCTCGTGGGTGGGCCAAATGTTATACTACGCTGTGTTTTTCTCTTGTACAACGATGCCTTCATTTCTTATATTATATTTTCTCATGTGGACAATATCTAATGTATGGTAAACGGTCCTAAAAAAATAGTCTGATGAAATGTTGTGACTCAAGAGAATGCAAGATACTTGTGGTACCACGTGCTATTAATTTTATGGATATAAAATATGTATCATTTTAATTTGCATCAACAAATTATAATTTATGCTCTTGAGGTAATGTCAACTGAATTTCACTGTAGACATTGGACAACTAGCATACTTGCATGAATAAATTTTAAATCATCATCATTAGTGATTTTAATTCGTGGTATAATAAACAGGAGTGCATAAGTCGAATATGAATTGGAATGAGGTAGAATAAGCGTGCACTCTACAATCTTACCACGGTGGCCACGTAACAGAAACTTTTTTTGATACTATCTTCCTTGCAGATGAAGTCTCCGACGTGATCGAGTGATCGTACTCCCTTCAAAGACATGTCAAACTCTATGAACCAAAGTAATATTTAATGATCTAATGCTGTGAATTTGTACAATCTGATGCACAAGAAATAACTAAATTATTATTCTGTTTTTTAGGTGTCATCGATATTAATAATGGAGGGGAACCTATAGATGCGAAAGAGCGCAAGCGGCAACGTGCTAGGGAACGATATGCGCAGATGGATGCAGAGCAAAAAGATGAGCTACTTAAAAAGCGTCGTGAAGCCTATCAACAACAAAAAAAGCTCGACTATTGGTTCATTCCCAAGAGACACAATCAAGTCAAGATACGTCAGTTGTTAAAAGGTGCTTAATAGTAGGCATATTATTACTTGCAAATATAGCAATTTCGTTGTTCCATGTTTCTAAGCAACTATACCTGACGTGCCATGGTTAGAACAAGAAGACACTTCTTGCAACAAGGAAAATATGGTTCCTCTTGAAGATAATGACTGGATCAGCAGAAATTTGGCAGTTATATTTCCACTCTATTTTTTATTATCTATATGGCTATATTTTTATTTCACGATAAAATTAGATAATGAAGTGTAAATTCTTGAGTGCATGAATACCAGAACTGAAGTGAAAATTCTGCTTGTCTTTTGATATGTTTTCTCTCAAGTAGAGGAAGATGGTTCATGTCCAAGCAAATCACCTACCTGCAAGCTTCTTGACATCTCACTAATTCGAGATTTTATTCTCTTCACTCTTTTCTGATATGTAAAATCAAAATAATACTTTCAATGTAGTTGATGTATATACTATCCAAGGTAGTTTGCTGAAATGATGATGAATCATTTGTGCATCGTATTTGAGGCCCAGATGCGACTTGTAAATATACTTTACATTACAAGTTATTATGTGCATTAGGTTTTTAGATAATTCATAAATGTAGGGTGTATCTGGCTTTAACTTTTTTTAGTAAAAAAAAATGTGCACTTCATTCAAACCAAGATAATGTTCTTACAATCAGCTTTATTTTTATTTTTGTAAAGAGAGACGGCCTCTCCGAATTTCATTCATCTTATTATCAGCTTGTAGACTATGCAGAATAAAATGAGGGCTATGGTCCAGCCAACGTGCTTCTGCGCCACTCACGCATAGTCATGAGTATCAACATTTGTTGTCCTTCTTGCAAAACGAATATCAAAAGACTCAAAAAGTGGACTGCTTTGTGATTCCGTCTTATCCGCCATAGACCCGCCAAATTTGTCGCCGGATGGGATGTTTCCACTCAGAGTAAAAGTATACGATGCAATAAAACAGAGCGACATCTCTGGCCATTTTCTTGCTCCCGATATTTTTGCATGCGATAATGGCGCTAGCCAATCGGTAAATAAATCAGAGGGAAGCAATCACGTTTATGTAGGGAAGATAATCGCGGGGATTGCCCTATGTAGGGAAGATAATCGCCGAGACTGCAGGGCAGTTAAGGCCGCGCGTCACATGCAGCAAGAAAATCCCGAGTTCAGAGGAAGGGAAGGAAATAATAAAGCTAGGCTGCTCGCACTACCCCATTTTCATCTATCATATTGCTAAAAACATTTACTCCTATCCAGCAATCTGTTTGGGTTTTTAGTTTTAAACTTTATGCGCGTGTGGCATGATCATGAACATGGATTACCAGTTGTCCCGGTGAGTACTCTACATTCACCATTCATGTGTCCTTTTAGATGTAAGCCTTGCATGACAGCATAATGCACGTGCAGGACGATTATGACCTACAGAATCAGGTGTTGGTACACTTGCTGTCGTACAAGGACAATGAATGCGTAGAAAATATTCCACAATTCGTGCGTGATTTGGTGAAGAGAATTGGGATAAACTTTTTTAGTCGGAGAAGCATATGTGTAATTTTATTACAACATTGTGAAATAGCTTTGTTTACTCTGTATCAATACGTTATTACAGTTCTTATTCTTTTAATCTAAATATGAACAATGCTATTTTTTGCAAGCTTACTTCAAATATTTCATGTGAAGTGGATAGTTATATGCTAAATGAAAAGAAATGTGTGTGCTCTTTTTAAATACAACTCAGTGCAGATGTACGCTACTTCATCTCAACATTGAGTTAGATAATCCTCAACTAAACTTTGTCATTCAATTAGATGGACACATCTAAAATTTGTAGACGTATTATTGCCCGTGGCAACGCACGGGCATTTTACTAGTTTATAATTAATCTAATCAGGTTTGCATTTCTTTTGAGTAAAATCTACTAATATGGTTTGCAGAGTTAAGGGTCAGGCTTGCACGGGCCGAAACATCGAACCAGAAAGCCTATTAAGCATTAGTGCTCCTGGCCCAGTAATAAAAAGGTGACACAACAATGGAGGGGTATTTTCTTTCCCTTTCTAGCGCAAAACAAGAACACTGAATGATCCGTTTTCAAAGGCAAATGATTCTGGCCAGTCGTAGCAACGATCTTTTTTTCTACCCTCTACCCCACAATTTTCTTTCTATTTCCTCTCACCAAACCGCAGTCCACCCGGTTTTTATCGACCACCATAATTAAAAGAATGAACTATTTGGTAAGTGCCGATTTAATCAATCTGGAGAAATCACCCAAACTGGCGCTCCCTTCTCAGCTTTGCCCTCCGCCGCACCTCTTCCTCCATGTAATCATCGACTGCGGCAACGAGTTGTTCTCCTACGCCATGTCCGCCCACGACATCCGCACCTTTCATGTGCCTACTACAGTTGTCATCGATGCGGCTGCGATGGCGAGGATGATGGGGGATATTAGTTCCACTTGCTCAGTTTGAATGAACGGTAGATGCCACGAGGAAGCCGAATCAGAGTCCTACCCCGAGGGCTCGACCTACTTGTTCGTGGCTATGGCGGATGCCGAAATTGTCGGCGATGGTAAGTTCATTTGTGTTGTACTACCCTGCACGAGAAAACTTAGGGCGAACAAATTTAAGGGGGTCAGGCCTGCTGGGCCGGCCGCAACGTCGAACCAGCCAGCCTCTGAACGATTGATTAAAGACACTGTTGTCTCCCACAAAAGGAGATGATTGGCCCTCCTGGCGGACCCAGTAATGAGAAGTGACAATGCATTTCTTTTCCTTCCTACTGTGGCATAACGAGTCAGAAAGAGAACACATAATAACCCTTTTTCAAAACGCAATGCAAAATTAACCTCAAAACTGTGCTGGCACGGCGAATCAACCTGTGGTTGAGTTGGTTAGGTGGACAGTGGTATCCTCAACCCACCAGGGTTCAAATCCTGGTGCTCGCATTATTCCTGTATTTATTTCAGGATTTCCGGCGATGCGCTTTCAGTGGGAGGAGACGTTCCCGTCGACGACGAGGCGCCTACGGTGACTTCGTAAATCTCAAGATGATATGCCGGCTCAGTCTTTCGGAGGTGCTCATATGGGTATTCAAAGTCCTGCAAGAAACAAATATTCCATCCGGATTTAATCACCACCACTGGCATCAATAGTACTGCTATCTTTTGAACCGGATTTCGACATGCCTCATTCTATTATTTAAGAAGAAAATTTGAATAGATAATTAACAGAAAATCAACAAAAGACCGTCATAACACACCCTAAACTGACGGGACCGGCAGGTCTAGCTACTCATATTCACTGAATAGAGAGAAATGGTACAAGAGACTGCTCGGTTAATTAACGGAAAACCGGGCTAAAATCCAAATAAACATACGAATCTACTTAGCTAAACAAGGCTTATAAGCACCGATGGACTAACAAGACACCCCTGACACATCAGGATCCTCGACAAGACTCATGAGCCCACGGAACATAAAGATACACGCATTCGTTATCCGATCCAACGGCATGTGCTACATTTTGCACAAGAAGAACCAAAGCAATTGTTATCATGCATCATCGGTTGTCATCCACTAACTTTGGTGTAGCAATAGCACGGAGAGGCACGGCCTTCGTGAGTGTCACCCCAAACTTCTCACACATATCAATCCCACTTCTCTCCACCTCCGTCGGGAGCCTCCACTTGAATCGATGCAACAACGACCCGAGAACTAGATGCACCATCCTGATCGCAAGCGGCATCCCTGGGCACATCCGGCGCCCCGCACCAAATGGGATCAGCTCAAAGTCTCCGCCTCTATAGTCCACCGCCCTCCCGAGAAACCTCTCTGGCATGAACTTCTCAGGCTCAGACCATATAGCTTCGTCCCGCCCCATCGCCCACACGTTCACCAGCACACGTGCGCCTTTGGGTACTGTGTAACCCGCGACTGTTATGGTCGTCTGAGCTTGGCGCGGTAGCAACAATGGAGCGGGAGGGTGCAGCCGGAAGGTTTCTTTGATCACAGCTTGGAGGTAGGGCAAGCTGTCGATGTCAGGTTCTTCGATGTCTCTCCCTGAGCCGATGACTCTTGTAAGTTCATCGTGCGCTTTGTCCATTGATGATTGGTTTTGAAGAAGCTCCGTCATTGCCCACTCTATTGTGCTGGAGGTTGTGTCACTGCCAGCAGCAAACAGGTCCTAATAAGACATATAGATGCGTTGTGAAACAATCAGTATTGTCATAAATATTTATCGGATGCAGTGACGTTATTATGTACCGTGGATGGGCAAAATAAATATTTTGAGAAGCTATACTATTTTTTATCGTATATTCAACCACTGCCATAGTTTCCATATGGATATACATATTGGTAAAAACAAGGGTGTGACTAGATCTCGGTCGACGAAGACTTAATCAAGTGACACAACATATAAAAAAGAAAAAAGAAAAAATAAAATAATATATCTACGGGTCTACACGTAAGATCCAATGAATATGGCATCAACTGAAACTTCATTAAGTTTCAGTCTATCGAGATTTAGCAATCTGCACCCTAATCTGTATTGTGAATGAGCAAAATAAAAATATTTTGATAAGCTATATTTTTTACTCCCTCCGTCTCATAATGTGCAAAAAACGTCTTACATTATGAAACGGAGGAAGTATCATATATTCAACCACGACCATTGTTTCCCATATGGATATACTACATGCATGCTGGTAAAAATAACAATCTTCCTACAAGATTTGCGCCGGCCGTAAAAATAAGTTTGAACCACACTTTCGGATTCGTAAAGCGGAATTTGTTTAGTGCAACTTGCTTGACAGCGACCAAAGGAACCTTATGCACACGGCTCTATCAATTCTTTATGATGTGTTACTTACCGAGAACAGCGACCGCAGCGTGTCGCGATCCAGCAGCGCGGCCTGGTCGTCGTCCCGCTCCGCGACATCCAGCAGCACGTCCAGGAAGTCGCCGCCGTCGTTGTCGTCGTTCTCCTTCCTAGGCTCGCCGGCGGCGTCGCGCGCGCGGCGCCTCAGCCTCTGGTCCACCTCCCTGTCGAACACGAGGTGCAGCCGCGCGAACAGCCGGGCCAACTGCCGGCGAAGGCCCTGCAGGTCGGCCGCCGCGAGCGCGGGGAAGAAGTCGGACACGTTCGGGCTGCCGGCCGCCTCCATGATCTCCGCCACCAGCACCTGGAACCCCTTGGACCCCCCGTGGTCGTCGAGGCTCGTCACGTCCGTCGAGAACACGGTGCGCGACAGGAGGTTCAGGCTGGTCGTGAACGCCACGCGGCCGACGTCCACGGCCGCGCCGTCGCGCGCCAGCCGGGCCACGTGCGCCGCGAGCTCCCGCACCTTCTCGGCCCGGAGGCGCTGGAGCGCGTCGGGCCGGTGCGGCGCGAACAGCTCCGTGGCCATGATCCGGCGGAGCGAGCGCCAGCGCGGCGCGTGGGGCAGCCAGGCGACGGAGCTCCTGGCGTGCGCGCCGACCGCGTCCTGCACGGCCCGGGTGGCGAAGACGGCGTCGTGCTTCTGGAGGAACTCGCGGGCGGCGTCCGGGGAGGAGACGACCACCGTGGTGACCGCGCCCAGGCGGAGCGACATGAGCGGGCCGTGGGTCCTGGCGAGCCCAGCGAGGGAGCGGTGAGGCTGGTCGCCGAGGAGGTGGAGGCTGCCGATGAGCGGCAGCGGGCGGGGTCCTGGAGGAAGGCCGCGACGGCGTGCGTGCGCGAGGAGGTCGAGTAGGTAGACGGAGAGGAGGAGGGGGACGACGAGCCATGGCAGCCACGGAAGAAGAGAAGCCATTCTCAGAGAGCTCCGTTAGTGTGTGAAAATATAGTGAACAGTGTGACAATGAATTTAGCACGCGTATGGTTAGGTGATTAGGTGCCCCTCTATACTGGCCACTGGTTTTGTTTGTGGTGTGGCGAAGGTAATCCTAGTGGTGGTGGGTCCTAATCCTATTGGGTTTGCGTTGGCAACCAATGGAAATCCCCTGGATTGATGATGAGCTATGTGGATTCAGATAATACGTGGTACAACCTACTACTCAGCGGTTGGCCTTCATGTGACCGAAGCGGCGGCAATCTCCTGTGTGCTACTTCTTCTTGATAATGACGGCGGACGCGGAAGGATGACATTGATGGAGGTGAGCAGAGTTAGACATTGATTTTCAGATGGTATGATTTTCAGAGGAACATCGTAGAGACCTCTGTCATGGCTCTTCGCAATGGTATGATTTTCAGATGGCTCCTATTTGACGCACAAGGGGATGGGCTGACCTATACATTAACCAGTCAACCGATTTTTCTTTGTTTGTAACTCATTCAGCTTTCTATCTTGATTTTTCTTGGTTTTCTGGTTTCTTTTTCTTTTGTTTTCTTCTATTGTTCATTTTAAAAAAGATCATGGTTTTAGAAACACTAATGACTTTCCTAAAAATGTTCTGAAATTTTTAAAAAGTTAATAAGTTTTATTTAAAATGCCAAATTCTTAAAAATTGTTCATGGTTTTCTAAACATGTTTGGAACTTTCAAAAAGATGTTCATAATTTTGCACATTTTTTTATAAATGTTCAATCATTGTTTGAAAATGATATGTCCAGAGCTCCTCCTATGTCACATTTCCATGAAACTTTGCACGCCCGCAGGAAACTTGTTCATCTTTGATGTGTAAGATTTCCATATTTGTTTGATTTTTTTTCTATGTTAGTAGATTTTACTGTTCATCCAGGATCAGATGTGCTCATGTCCAGCTATGGATTTACAGTATACCGGCTTGATTGCTGACTTTAGTTTATCTCGCTTAAAAGAGGGCAAGTTGGAATCGCTAGATGTGTGCCATATACTACCTCCGTCCTGGTTTATTGGCCCCCCTCGCATTTTCTGCCAAAATTTAACCTTAAATTTAAATAATAAAATCTTAATGCATGTAACAAAAAATAATATCATTGAAAACTATGTTCAAATACGAATCCAACAATATAATTTTTGGTGAAATGCATTATTATTTTCTTAGTTAAATATATGGTTAAAATTTGGCACTAAATACTAAGGGGCCTAATAAATCAGGACGGAGGTAGTAGCAGAAAGCACAGTAGATACAGTGAGCCTGGCAACGATCCTAACTCCATAGAGAAGAAGCGATCACACATTGCTCATTAGTAATGATCGTCACAGCCAAAAAATTAAGAATCATCTAAATTGTCTACCACACAAAACTCTAGCCCTTACGAGGAAGACTAGAATAGAGTGTGTGAGGGCCGCTGGAACCCCATGTTTTCCCTTCGTGGAAGCTCCACTGGCTAAGAATTATCTACTCCATCTATTTTTTAAATATAAGCCTTTTAAAGATTCCAATATATTTTTTTGAACACAGATTCCAATATGAACTACAAGCGAAGCAAAATGAGTGAATCCACACTCTAAAATACGTTTATATACGTTCCTATATGGTCCGTATTGAAATCCTTAAAAATGTTTATATTTAAAAACGGGGGGAGTACGATACAAATCCCTCCACCATGTCTCTCACACAAATTCTCTGACATCCATCAAACATCTGACGGCCCATGTTGCATTTTTCTATTTTTCACATGAAGGCCCTGCTTCTATTCCCCGTTGCCCTCGGCCCGGGCCTTCCAGTGGCCTTTCTGCTTTGCAGCAGCACCTCAATCAACATTATCGTTCTTGGGAGCTCTTATTGGACGCTCGCTGCGTTCAACAAAGCGCCGACGCACAGGGGGCGCCGCGACTGGGCCGGCCGAAGCTAGCGAACAGCAGTAGACCTAAAAAACATGTGACGCTTTGTGAGAATCGAAACAAGATCTCCTGTCGCCGAAGAAGTGCCATTACCACTGGAGCTAGCGTACATTGCTTTATATGGAACTGCCCGAAATAATTAAAGAACCAAAACCAGCGACGATATGTTTAAAAAAAAATCAAACACTAAACATTTTTTATTGAAAAAACGCGAGCACATTCCAAATTCGTTAACAAATTTTTCAAAAAAAAGGATTTTTAAACTAATGAACAATTTTTTAAAACACATTTTTCTAAAACTCTTGATTTTTTTTCAAAATTCAAGAATTTATTTAATTCCACAAAATAATGTAACACGAACATATTTTGAACTTCTGGAACAAAATTTGGAAACACGAACATTTTTTCAAACTGGAACATTTCTTTGAAATTCCAGACCACAATTTGGAACGTGATTTTTTTTTAAATGGAACTTTTTTTAAACTCCTTAACAAAATTGAAAATAAGAACATATTGAAAATTTCTGAAGAATTAGTGAAACAGGAACATTGTTTTAAACCCTCAAACAACACTTTAAAGCATGAACATTTTTTGAAAGGTGTGATTTTCTTTAAAAAACGTGAATATTTTTTGAATCTCCCAAACAAATTTGAAACATGAATTTTTTTAAATTTTGCAACAATTTTTGAAATGGACTTATTTATTGAAATCTCCAATTTTGCTGAAAGGTTGTGGAACATTTTTTAAAAGTGAACAATTTTGGACAACAACACTTTAAAGCATGAATATTTTTTAATGTTTGAACAAAATTTTAAATTCAGAACATTTTATGAAATTTTTGAATTTAAGGATAAACAAAAAAGAAACAGAAAAAAGAACAAAAAGGACAAAAGAAACAGGAAAAAGGAAATAATATAAAAAACGAAGAAACAAAAATGAAAAACCAAAAAAGCAATAAAACCAAGACAAAAAACCAAAAACAGGAAGAAAAAAGCAATACAGAAAAATACGAATGGAGGATGGGTCGGCCCACTGCGAAGCGTCGACATTACCACGCAGTGAGGCATCCTATAGGATTTACCATCCTTCTTCGCCCTTTCTCTCGGCCTTCTTCTCCAGCTCATCCATGAGACGGCTAATGCAAGCATCTTCGTCATGCTTGGACGCTATCGGGCACTCCGCGACGTGTGCGGGTGTCATCTGCACAGCCTCCCATGCCGGATTAGTGCGGTGTCAAGCTTGTCCAGGTGGTTCGTCGTGAACACAATGATCCGATCGCCACCTTGTGCCTACCAGAGCCCGTCAATGAAGTCGAGCAAAATATATTGAGGCGCCTGAGCCATTGGATGCACATCGGATGGACGGGAACAAAGTGACTGAAACAAAAAGTTTCGTCAAGCGCCTACCTTATGGTCACCCCCATTATGATAACCAACAAATCATAACGAGTCCATTGAATGTGCAGCTAGCTACTGCCCCTTTCCCCCAAATTGAAGACCCCACACTGCATTTTGAAGAATAGGGCACAAGATTTACAGGACAATGAACAGTCAATGTTACCTACCCGGCTTTGTGCTACAAAACATTTTGAAGGGAGATGTACAAGACAGCTCCCAAACCAAATACAGAATGAAAGGCGCGTGCCTCCATGTTCAATCAGCGACATGAACAGACACAACAGGTGGACATAACAGGGATGGTTAGCATACAGAACAGGATGGACATCAGCGAAACTGTCTCCTATTGAGGGTCAGGTCAGATACTGATCTGGTGAACATGGTACGATCTTATGCCCGATGAATTCGCTTCAGATGTCCTCAGGCTTCAAGCGTTGAGATCCCATGGAGCACTTTGTCGATGAGGTGGACACGGAAACCCTAGGAGAACTGCACGGATAGATAAACACCAATTATAACATTTCTAACGCTTGATAAGTTCTCATCGTCGTGTTGTCACCACATATCACATCTGTCACTTAATGAATTGCAGCAACAAGGTAACATATTATGTGCTACAGGCTGACATTTCCAAAGTGGCACGTTTGATATGCTAAGGACTTGTTGATCTAATCCAGGTTTTCTGTTACAAATTAGTTTTGCTGTAAATTCAGCTAGTGTTCAAGTTATAAACAGATTCTTTTTACTTGCCATCTTTGTTTCTTCTCCGTGACATTTAGTAGCACACAGGAGTATATCCTGATGTGCCTATGCATTGCAAGAGCTAAACCAACACTAAATATTATTGCAAACCTACTGTACTTGAAGAGCTTGGTCAGGGCAAGAACAGACCTGATGAGCTCTGAAGTTGAACGAATGGTGACTGAGCTTTCAGAAGAAGTAGTGGGCTATTTTACATAAATTATGTCCTCCTCATCTGGTTCATCTCCCTCCCAGTCACCATCTTCTTCTTCTGCTATATCTGAAACTTCCCCATCTTCGTCTTCAGCATTTCCTTCTCTCTGCTCCCTTTCCTCCTTTAGTTTGTCCAGTATCGTAAGAATCTGCAGAGGTGAACTGGTTAGACAAGGATCTCCTGGTACATATGAGAAATATGCAAAAAAATGCTCCATGTAATGATTCTTAGTGGTAATAATACAGACCCTACAGCGGATAAAAATGTCCACTCTATAGGTTCTGAGCTATACAAAAACTGAAGCATTTCCAGCTTTTGAGCTAGTTTCCAGCCCTACAGAGAAGGAAGTTGACATCTAATATAACATCGGATAAAAATAGACAGTGATTATTATCCATATGACAAGCAAATGATGATTCTAATTTTCACCTAAGCTGAACTGCAAATTACGCTGCAAGATGTAAAACAGAGAAGCAAAAATCTACCGCAACTCAAATCGCAGGGGAAGAGAAACATGACCAGTCAAGATAAGTATTCGGTACTACGCTTTACAACAATCGCAGAAGGCGGTCTCAAATAATCACATATGCTCAGACAAATGAGTTTAAAATAACAGTGTCGATAACTCTGGTCTGCAGCAGCAACGATGGTAACAAATAGCAGTCAGTGAATAAGCTACCTAAACTAAGTTAAGTGAACATAAAACTAGTGAAAAATGAAAAACAGGTGAATACTTAAACTCACGGTCATTGTGAAACTAATGGGTTTCTTTGGCAACAAAAGGAAAAAAAAAATTGAAGCTTACCCTGCTTCCGCGCTCCATGGACTCGTCTTCGATGAACCGTATCTCGGGCGTGAGGCGCAGCTTCATCCGCTTGCCAATCTGGCTCCTGACGTACTTGGTCTTGTCTTTGAGCCCGGCCATGGCCACCTTCTTCCCCCTCTCGTCCCCGAACACGGACACATACACCTTGCACACCTGCAGACACAGACCGGAGCAGAGACAAGGAGCTCAGCATCCCAGATTGCAGCGCGGCCGCATCGTTTGGAGGGAGGGTCCGGGCGTGACCTGCAGGTCGTTGGAGAGCTCGACGTCGGCGATGGTGGTGAGGGAGGAGAGGTAGCGGTCGGCGCCGAGGGCGGCCTCGGGGAGGACGGCGCGCTGCATCACGGGGTCGCGGGTCAGCATGTCCGCCAGCTCCCGCTGGATCTGCTTCGCCACCATCCGCACCCGCCGCTCCTTGGCCATGCACCGCACCACGCGCAGCGACGTCGACGTCGACGGCGACCACGGCAGCCGCCGCCGCACGGAGACGGGCGCCGCGGCGGCGAGGGCCCGCGGCAGCGGCGGGGACACCAGCGGCCGGCACGGGAACATCCTCGCGGTGGTGGGGGATTTTGCGCCGCGGTGAGGCCGTCGGCCGTCGCTGTGGGGAGTGGGAAGGGGATAGTGTTGAGAATCCAACAATATCTCCCGGCTTGATTTAAAAGAATTTCCAAAATAATGTGCAAATAGTGTATGGTTATAAAAACCCTTTGCTAAGTCCTTTTTCTATTAGAACATTTTTGTATCCATAGGAAATTATGTACTCACACTATTATATGGTTAGATTTTAGCTTCTTGTTGGACGAATTACCCATGGTACTCGTGTCATGAATGGGCGCGGATTCTCTACCTTGCCATGTGCAACGCAGTGAACTACAGTGCTCTACCTTTATCCGAGAGACATTGGATCAAAAGTGGGCGGTCCAGATCGGGGCAAAGACTGTAGTGAATGCACTGTAGCGAACGCATTGTTTAACGTTCATGTTCATGTCACTGTTTCGAGTACTGTGGCGACTGTACTGTTGCATCAGATCTGAGCGGTTGGTTCTCGATCCAACAAACGGAAGAAGAGGAAAGGCAGAGGCACTGTAGCTCTCTGCCTTGCCCATGGCACGGTAGAGAATTCACAGCCGTCATGAACAAATGTGTGCCACTGTCATAGTGGTTCTATACTTTATCCGTCGCCAATTGCATGTGGTCCTTGCCTTCCATGATTAAACTTTGATCGTCTGTGCAGATGTAGGGTAAGGAGATGTGAAAGGGTTGTATCATTTTCAGATTACCCCGGGCTGATGGTGTATCAGTTTGTATTGGGTTGTATTTATACCGAGTAAGCGCATACCATAGCAACCAATCCAAACATAATTTAACACTATATGTGACCAGCGTAATTAAAATAAGTAACGAGATCCTAATCCAAACACATTATGAGATGCACATCGGTTCGTATAGACTCAATGGCAATCACGACTCAAAACTATCTAGGCATCATATGTTACATGTCAAGATACACCATTCAACATACACCATCATATGCTACATGTCAAAAATTGACTTTTTTGGGGTACGTATGCTATATTTAAGCCACAAAGTGCATTTATATGCATTCAAACGGAATCATTCAAAACTGAACTTCAAATGCATGAAAATTCTGAAAAAAATGGGATATAAATAATATTTGTGTTCTTTAGTCTATGTTTAGGCAGTTCCCAAGAAAATAAAAGGAGTTCCATACATCAGGGTGCCAAGACTCGACCCTGAAATGTAGCTCATTGAATATTTAATACCAAAAAATGCAAACAAAGTCTAGAAAATATGAAACCTAGCATGGTGTCATTATATGACATCAATAGGTTGCGTAAAAACTGCACAAGGTTTAACAAAAGTAGTGATGTACACTGCTTAGAAACCGAACCATATCTCAGTGGAAGAAATGTGGTTTCAAAAGGGAACGCGTCAACTTTGAAGGCTAAGCGACAGTTGCTTCGTCATTTCACCTTGAAACATTCCATACTCTCAACACATACCATCCCATGTTACATATAACATAATAATCACTTTTTGAATTCGTTCATTATAATTTTCTCACTCTGTTTGATATTTTTAAGTCATGAAGTGATTTTCGAGCAATTAACAGACATAATTCAAATTGGCGAAAGGGCCCATGCATTGCAACGGGAGATAAAAATCATAGTCTTCAATGGTCATGATCACATTTTGCTGCATCATCCAGATACACACTCATTCTCAATTTCGTGAAATCATGAATATCTATTTGAACTCATGAAGATATTTGAAATTGTGAACATTTTTCCAATTCATGAACACTTTTACAAATTTTCGAACATTTTCTAAAATCAGGAACATTTTTTGAATTAATGGACATTTTATACTATATGCAGACATTTAAAAAAATAATCTGAACAGTTTCTTTCACAAGTTTCATGAATCGGCGAACATTTCTAGAAGGATCAAACATTGGTTTGGAAATTACTGGAACAATTTTGAAATTCACGAACATTTTTTTGATACAACAAATTTTTTTTGAAAAGCATGATCATTTTTTAATCATCAATCATTTTATGAATGAATAAACTATTTTGTAAGTCACGAAAAGTTTTGATTTTTTAGGATATTTTTCCATTCATGAACATTTTTTGAATAATGTAATTTTGTTCAATTTCATTAAATATAATACAAAAACCTTTTTACAAATCATGAACATTTTATGACTTCCCTAACATTTTCAAAATTTCGAACATTCTTTGAATTAGCAAATATTTTTATAAAATCGTGAATATTTTTGGAATCCATAAACTTTTTATTATTATTTTAATACTTTATTTTAAAATTCTCATATTTTGAAATTTAAGAACTTTTTTGAAGTCCTAAAATTTTAAAGTTGAAAAAACAGAAATGCAAAAGAAAAATAAAAAATAAAACTAAAAAACAGGCCGCACGAACATGGGCCGGCCCAAATGGGCGTGCTGCGTCTTCTTCCGGCGCACAAAGCGCATTATAGGAGGCCCCTACTGCATCGGTCGGCCAACGCAGGGTATTCTCCTGTGTGAAACGTTCTTTATCAGTTATAGGTGGCATTGATCTGTAATATTTTGCAACTTTGAAGGCGATTTTCGTGACGTACGCAAGAATTAATAGCCCCTTTATTATTCGGTAAAGATTTAAACTACATGTGCAAGAATATTTTTGGCAAAATGGGTTGAAAAATCATATGTGTGTTACTAAGTCTATATTTATGCCCTATCCAATAAAATAAAAGGAATTTCACACATTAGGAAGCCAAGACTCAACCCCTAACATGGAGCTAATTGGTTTTTAATTTCAAAAATGTAAACAAAGTGTGAAAAAAACATGATTGGTTTTATTGGGGACCAAGAAAAGTTCTATAATTTTGTGTAGGTACTAATCATTTGCTACGGTTTAAAAACTCCTGGTAGTTTCATAAACCTTAAAGTCATCAACTTGGGGGGAAATTGTTGGTTTCTACAAATGTCTACACTTGGAGGGCCAACAATTCACTAACAGAGAGGAAGCAACTGTCGAAATCACTAATTAAGAAGTACTTCTTTCAAAGATCACTCCTACCTCCTCATGTGCGTCACTTGTCGCAACCTGGGGTTTTCCCTTTTTTTGTATATTTGTTTATTAAAAAAATTATCTCTTAATCCGTGCGCCCAAATCTCGAACCATTTTCACCACTAGATTCCTCGCATCGAGATCTTGAAAACTAGATCCCATGTTGGTAGGTTATGACAAACTTTTTTCACGAAAAAACTGAACCGGAGGATATTTTTTTCTTTTCAGAAGAGGCACGGCCGTGCCTCTCGCGAAAACACAACCGTGCCCCACGCGGAAGCACAATCATGTCTTTCACAGAAGGAAAAAGATAGAAAACGAGGTTTTTTTCTTTTCCGACCGTGCCTCTCACAGAACCAAAACCGTGGCTCTCACTGAAGGAGGAAAAAAAACAGAAAACACGTTTTTTTTCTTCTGTTTTTGAGAGACGCGATCGTGCCTCTCGTGAAAGCTCAACCGTGCCTCTTGAAAGAACATGCGGTGTCCCGATGTTTGGTTTTGGTAATTGATGACAATCTCTATGGACTAATGGTTGTCTTGAGTTATAGTTGAAGGATTTGTCCATAGGCTTTTCTTGAAGTCCATGTGTTGGTTTCAAGGAGTTTATGAGTTGACCAAGGTGCTATTAAGGAATTGTCCAAAGATTGGTCATGTGAGTGTTGAGCTTATTGCAAGCATGTCTTGAAGAAAAAGATTGTGTGATCATTCATGTTTACCTTCAAGGCATCATCCAAATGAAGAGAGTTGGAAAGCTTCAAGGTTGATCAAGACTAAGTCAAGAGTGAATCAAGTTGATCAGCTCACAAAGCGTAGAAGATGTACCGAGAGGGATCAAGTGATCCCATGCTATGGTAAGCATTGTCCATTGTGCTTTGTGTACTAACCCATGGTCTATGTGAGATTTCTATGTGGGGTTAGGTACGTGTTCATGGGCTTGCGTCAAGAGGAAGATATCACTCAACCCATGGAGTGGATGACATCAAGTGGTGATCGTCATCAAGATTGCCGTGTGCAAGTTCAAGTGGAGCATCACGAAGAGATCAAGTTCTTGAAGCTTGCCAGCCATTGTGGTGCAATGGACTTGTGAAGATGTGCCGAAGAGTGGCTCACCCATAGTAGAGTATGGGGGAGCAATCATCTAGTCTTCATCGACCCAAGCAATCAAGAAAGGTGGTCCAACTTGAGGGAGTCAAGATCGTCATCATCTAGCTCAAGTGGACTTCGTGCAAGGCAAAGGTTTGCCCGTGATAGGTTTTATATTTTACCGGTCTCATGGTGATAGTTTGGAGACCGGGTTATAGGATCGATAGCCGTACTATCAAGGGGGGCTCTCAAGTGAGTAGCGTGATCGTATTGTTTGTCGAGGACTCAAACCATTGCATCCTTTCATCATCTTTCTTGATTCTTATTTGTATTTTCTTTTGAGGTTTTATAGCTTGTGGTTATCTTCGTGACAAGCTCTATTACATCGAAAACGGATTTCATATGCTTCTTCTATCGCGTTTTCGGTGTTGGAGGTTTTACTGGTCTTTTTCGAGGAAGGGTTCTCACCATTTTATCATGGGACTTTTCTAATTTGCTTCTTATTGATATTTGATTCAAGATTGTGTTAGCCCATGTCCTTAGCTTTCCAAAAAAACTTGGTTTCATTGAATTCGGAGTCCGTTTGCAGAAGTTGTGGCAGTTTTGGTGTTCTGAAAAGGCTGCAGCAGTACTACCGCGGACAAGAGCGGATGTAATTTTTTACTACCACTCTAGAGCGATATTACAGCGGTAGTACTGCTCCGGACCAAAAAATCATCACAAGTCCAGTGGTGGTAGGCACAAATGTATTTTTTTTAGTATCGCTCGCAAGCAGTAGTACCGCTACTCTTTGAGGTAGTACCGCTACCCCTAGCGGTAGTACCGTGAGGTCGAGCGGTAGTACCGCTCTGTGCGGGCTGTGAGCATAACAG